TCTTATCCTTTGGGATGAGGCACCAATGACACACAAATTTTATATTGAGGCACTTGACAAAACCCTTCGAGACATATGTTCCTCTCCCTCAATTTTTGGCGGTGAGATTGTGGTTCTGGTAGGAGACTTCCGACAAATATTACCTGTCATCACAAAAGGCACACGTGCACAAACTGTTGACGCATGTATAAAGTCGTCGACACTTTGGCAACATTTTGAAACGATGCACCTCTCGGAAAATATGCGTGTCCTCACCCAAATCAACACAACTGAAGGTCGTGAGTATGCCACATGACTCCTCTCACTCGGAAACGGCGACATTCCCCCCCCCCCCCCCCCCCCCCCCCCCCCCCCCCCCCCCCCCCCCCCCCCCCCCCCCCCCGCACTGAACCTCCTGTCATCGAACTCCCGCCTACTCTATGCCTGTATGAAGGGACGCAACAACTTATAGCTTGGACATTCCCACACCTACAAACAAATTCTCGCGACTCGCTATGGCTTGCTGAACGCCTCATTCTCGCCCCGAAAATCAACACAGTGTCTACACTCAATTCAATAATCCTCGAGCAATTCCCTGGAGATTTTATCACATGCCTCAGTGCTGACACACTCCTCCCCAATGATAATTATCCCAATGTCTCTGTCGACGCCCTTAATACGATCGACATTCCGTCTCTTCCTCCCCATGTCCTTCGCATCAAACAAGGCGCACCAGTTATTCTCTTGCGAAACATCGCCATGCGAAACGGCCTCTGCAATGGCACACGACTAATAATCGATGCGATCACAAACAACAGACTACTACATGCACGCATTCTCCCTCCTCTCCAACCTATTCTCCTCCCACGAATTTTCCTCACTGTGACAGATCAGACACATCTGTTTCCTTGGCAAAGACGACAATTCCCCATTCGACCCGCTTTCGCAATCACCGTGAATAAATCCCAGGGCCAATCGATCAAACACGCCGGTGTTGACCTCCAACAAACACCATTCGCACACGCCAACTTTACGTCGCTGCATCAAGAGTGGGTGACCCCTCACACATTCGCTTCTCCCTTCCTACCAACAATAACCGAACTATTAATATAATCTATAAATAAATTCTTTCTTAAGCTTCATCTCACACCGTTTGACCGCATTCTCTTTGTGACATGCCGTGCAGGTCTCCCCCGCCGTAAAAAAAAATGAAGTTGTCATCATCAGCAAATGCGCTTCCCGAAGCTCCGACAACATTTGCGACAACATCTGCAATCGCAACTGCATCAACCTCTCCTGCCACCACATCTACAACTGCTCCTATCACCACATTTACGACCACTGTTCTCGCCGCCACCGCTGCCACGATGCCATCAACAACCACAACTCCACTGCCCACTGTTCTCACCGACGCCGCTGCCACACCTCACCCATCATTACCGGCTTTATCACAAATCGGTCTCGACGAGGACATTCTCACCCAAATTCCACTGCCCTCTCCAACTAATACACAATCTGCTCCTTTAACCACTTCCACAATTGTCCGCCCTGCTGCGCAAAGCACCTCGCCAACCGACTTCTTCAGATGGGACAGCTGGCTCCAACTGCTCACCAAAGACAACATCGAAGACATCATCACCTAGATATTATGGGAAGACTTCCTAACAACCGACCACGCTGCGTTCTCACCACACCTGTACACTTTCTTCTCCCAATACAAACAACACCGAACACAATCACTACAACGGCCTGAACCCTCCACCAACATCAACGCCCAATTCCAACGAGCGAAAACATTCCTCCTCAAAACTTATCAATGACGACTACAACCGCACTCCCTCTCCAAGAACACCTCCCCCACAATACCAGCATGAACGTATCACTACCGTACATCATAGACACTCTTTCATTGCAACCACTCCACCGCCCGCCCAGTCCCCGTTACAACCCCATACAGCTCATGAAGCCGACCCGCTTTGGTGGCTTCCACTCGAGCCATGGGGTGCCACAAGAGCCACCGCTCTCATTCACGACCTCCTCGCATCACGCCATACACTCCACATCTACAACATCCCCCACACATCTCGAACGTGGGATTACCTGAACGACCTCATCTTTGTTCACCATCACGAGACACAACATCCACTCCCCCCCTTCCCCACTTTCAGAGCAGACATCATCCGACGGGCCATTGCGCTCCTTCAAGCGCAAGGAGCACCCACACGGTGAACATTCCACATTGGGCACGCCTGCTATCAACCCCGCAAGAAGGCAACTGCGTTACATCTACCGCAGACAAACCCCGGAAGAAGATATCAGCACCGGCGCACAAAATCGATGAACCAAAGCCTCCATCGGATCTCCGTTACAGGCCGCTGCCCTGTCTGCGACAATCAAGACTCGACGACACTGGGTGCCGACACTGCCCGACAACAATTTCCTGGACTGTGACCAGATTGTTCTGCCAAGACATTTACATGAATTTTCAGCTATGGATATAAAGTGCTTTCCTGTGTTCTTTCCTTTCCTGCAAACAGATCATTTCCGCTTCTTTCTTTAGAAATAATATTTTCAGTTGTGCATACATCATCCTTCTCTCTACAAACCCTCTTCCCCCTGCTTCCTCGACAACCTGTCTACACAACTCCCTGTCCCCGTTCCTGTCCTCCATCTGTTCAAAATAACCTGGCTGCATTGTGATACGCAGCTCCCTCTCCCCGTTCCACTCCTCCCCCTTCCACATGTTCTCTTCGAAACTCGCTTTGCGCCGCAGCGACGCTGCGGCGGGTCCACTTGTAATTGTAATAGTAAGAGGCCCTGTTTTTCCAAATTGCGATCGACATTTTGGTAAGTGTGTCATCAATAACTGTAGTCAGCTGGATCGGATTGTTCCCGGAGGGCTGAACGGTAAGAAGGGGGAGCTCTATCTTGCAGGGGCATCACAAGGTGGGGGGCGAATGTCTCAAAGAGGGTAGGGGCGGAGTAGGGGGTTGCCCTATTCTGGGGCAGGGGCTGGTGCAGGGGTCAACATCAGTCCCAGCAGAGGCAGAAATGGGCAAGGGGCGGCGGGGCATGCTTTAGGTGGGAACTGCGTGCTCCTGGGGAAAGGGGGGGAGAGGGTTGGTCCTATATTGGGGCCGAGGGAGAGTGGGTGACTAATCTCGGCGGAGGCAGTGTAGGGCTGAGGGGGGAGGGGTAGGGGGAGGGATGGGCGATCTCTCTGGAAGAATTCTAACATCCAGTTAATAGTATTTATTTCCATTTGGTTTGCCTCTCGAGGAGGTTGTAGGAATAGGTGCTATCTGGCAAGTCATCTGTGATCCTGCGAAGGGTGGTCGAAAATTCGGTGGCCCTCGAAGACCGATGCTGGAGCAACGCTGACCGGAGCCGGAGCCAGGTGGAGCAACCCTGTGACCTAGCTTAGTGGGGGCGTGAGGCCTAGTAGAGAGATCTGGGGGGCTGTTTGCGGGGCCAGTCTCAGTGGTCATCGGGGGTCGTAACTGGAGCAATGCTGGCTGGTGCTGGAGCAAGGTGGTGCAACTCTGTAACCTAACCTGATGGGAGCATAAGGCCTGGAAGAGCTTCGGTTCGTGCTGAAAACAGCCATGCTGGTGGTGGTCGTAGGTGGATTGAATAAGTTTCACCTATCTGGTTTTTTTTTTTTTTTTTTTTTTTTTTTTTTTTTTTT